CTCCGACAGGGACGGATCCAGAAGAAAGGGCTGGGAAGCAGCAGCCAGTGAGGTAGGAGGGAAACCGGGGGAGGAGGGTGCCCTCACCTTTTTCTGCCTGGCGAGTTCTTCGGGCTGTAGGCTCCCACTGAAGCACCTCCTCCTCTGAGAAGCCTTCCCTGACCAGGTGAGGCGAAGTCAGTGACTCCCCGGTCTGTGTTCTCCCAGCGTGTGTTCACCCACACGTGCCCTCTGGCAGCACTTGTTACAGGAATGGTAATTCCCACGTCGGTCTTCCCCACTCAACTCTGTGCCTCTTAGGGGCAGGGACTGCGTCCTATCCAGGACCGCACATCCCACCACTAGGCTCAGGGCTCGCCTCAGTGGGTGCCCAGCGACTGTGTTGGAATCCAAAGGAAGAAAAAAGCCCAAATATCAGATGGAGTTGAGGAGGGTTCAGCAGAGAAGGCATTTGAGCAGCACTGTGTTGGAAGACATTGGATTTGTTTTTAATGTAAGAAAATAAGAGAGCATGGCAGGCCAAGACAGAAGAGGACAAGCAGCCAGACCTAAGAAGGCACAAATTATGTCCAAGAGACAGGAACTGGCTCAGCTTGGTGGGCCCGCGGGGTCCGGGGAGGGTACAGGGAAGTGAGGCTGGAGCCAGGCTGGGAGGCAATCCACGCGAGGCTGCGGGCTCGGTCCTCAGACTTGTCCCTAACAACGCTGGTGTTCCGTTGTGATTATAGAATGTGACAGTTTCACAGTTTCCTTTAACTCCAAGGCAGGCAAGTGTGAGAACTGTTGTTACAAATAACAAATGATATAATAATAAAAACTGCCATTGATTAAGTGAGTACTTTGTGCTTTGTACTGTGCCAAATGTTCCACAGGGCTTTCTCTCATTCCATCTTACAACCGTTCCGGGAGGTAGACACAGATATTGCCACTATTTGCAGATAAGGAAACTGAGGTAAAGAGAGGCTCACGTGCCAAGCTTGCCCGCTGGTGGTGCTGGAAGGAAGAGCTGGGAAACCCAGGCCCTGGCACGAATGACTACTAGGCTGACTCCTTCCTGTGGGGTGTCTGGGGCTGAAGGGGGCGGGGGAAGCTCCAAGAACAATGAAGAAAGAGAAGCACCTTAGGATCTACAGAAGGTGTCTCCTCCCGACATCTGGGGGAGAGGTCACGGCCAAGGAGAGAATCAGACATGGAGCTAGAGGAAGACAGAGACCAAGCAATAGAATTGAGATACAATGTTCTTGAAAGTTGGGCTGGAAGCCTTTCCTCTGCATGTGCCTTTCTGCCACATGAATCACCTGCACCCAGATGGACCTTACTGTTAAAGCCAAGGTCACACTGCTGCCCTCCAGAAGACGGACGTGAGGACGTGTTGCTGGGGCTGCCTGGGCGATGGCGGGGGAAAGGCCGGGACGGCAGGGCAGCCACATTCCCAGGCCGGGGATTACAGGAAACCTGCCCACAGCCCGAGCTGTGCCAGCAGCTGCTACGGACCATCGCCCTTCCCCAAGTAGTTATTGTGGCTCTGGTTGGAGAGGGTCACAGTCACATGTTCAAGTTAAATGCACCGTTGTTGGACAGGGTTATGTTCCGGAATGTGTGATCCGGGCCTGGCCCGAGCTACAAGCAGAAGCGGCTTCGCAGTAAGAAGGAACTTATCATACTGCATTTGCACAGAACATTGTTGCAGTTTGCAAAGTCCTGCACAATCTGTATCCCATGAAAACTGGACAAAAGCCCTGCGAGGTAGTTGAGGAAACTGAGGCACAGAGAAGGCAAGTGACTTATACAACATCGCACAGCAAGTCAACGGCAGAACCTAAAATCTTTGAGTTCCAAGTTAGTTCAGGGGTTTAAGACCCAAACTAACAGGTGTTTTTAACAAGTGATATGAATGAAGAAAGCAAAAGAGGAGAAAAGAGTAGTATTTTCTCAATCACTGTGGGTCTGAAATGTGTGGTAAAACACATTTCAAACACCTAACACTTTCTAGCTTGTCAAAGTCTTTTTCCTGTATTACTTCACAATGATCCTAAGGAGGCAGGTAGGGAAGTGAGTGCCGGTGATTCAGAGCAACTGAGGCCCGAGGTCACACAGCCTGGAAGAGGAAGAGGAAGAGTGCCCCCTGGAGTTCACTTCCAGTGCTGTGCTCCTCCCCTGACCCCAGGCCTGGAAGCATTTAACGCGGTCAAGCAATGGAAAATGGTCCCAGGGCTGCGGCTCCATCTGCTAGACGTGATCTGTCCAAACCAGTGGCTCCCTGCCTGTCTGCCCTCCAGCCCTCCCAGCTCCACCCCGACGGCTGTCCCAGGCCACCGGTCCATTGCAAGGCACCCACCCGGCCCCCACCCTGCACGCTCACTCTGCCAGGGCTCTGCGGCTTGGCCATGCACGCCAGGCCCACATGATACGCCTGGAATAACTGTCTCTGTCAAACAGATGGAACCGCACAGTCCCCAGGATGACCCCTGGATGCCTCCACATTGCAAATGTCTCCTTTGCCCTAACCTACAGTGGCTTGAGCCAGGACCTGTTTTTTTCTGGTTCTGCCTCCCGGTCCTGCCCACTCACACCTTCTAACACCTTAAGCCACGTGCCTAATGGCTGAGCGGGACATCCTGCCTGGGAACCAAAGCCTGGGGTCCGAGTGCCCAAGGACACATCTCTGGAAGGCAATCACCCCTCCCAGAAACCGATCACTGCCTGAATCCTCCCCCAAAGGGCTCCTGCCCACCTGCCTGGTGCCCCGCCCCGGGGTGACCGCCCTGGAGTGGGGGCTGCCCGCTGCCTCTCCCCTCCCTCCTGCGCCAACTGCTACTTTCCTATCACGGTCTCAGAGGACCAGGAACAACCCACATGTTCACTGACATGAAAATGGATAAATGAACTGTGCGTGTTCACAATGGGATAAACAGCATGCAAATGAAACAGTACCAACCACCCACACGCACATGTGGGGACAGAAAGCTGTAGAAGTCCGCATACTTCCTAACAGAGTCTTTATAAAGCTCAAAAACAAGTGAAACAAAGCAGTACCTTGTTTAGGGAATACATTCATGGACACTGTAAGTATTTTTAAAGCAAAGAATTGATAAACATAAAATTGAGGGCAACATGCTTCATGGTGGGCAGAGAATAGGGTGGGGAGCAGCATGGCAGTGGGACCTCAGGGTGGGAGGTGGGCTTGGGATGGTTATTTCACGGTTCCGCCTCACAGCTCACCTACGTGTTCATGTATTCTTTTTTAGATACAACGGCTACAAGATCATTTTAAAGATGAGATGGAGAGGGTCCCAGGGGTACCCGTCTTGTCATCTCCTTCCCATTCTGGCGTATCTGTGGCAGGAAAGTGGGTGCCTGCTGGGTGCCTGCCCTGCCCATTCCCCGCCCCAACCCCGCAGCTGAACGACCTGAAAGGATGCTCTACTGTCATTCCCTTTCTGTCCCTCCCACACTGGGTCCCCAGCACTCTGACCCCATCCTGCCGCTCACTGACCTCGCCGAGGTCAGCAGTAAGTACAAGGCACGGTTCCCGCGGTCTCGGTCATGCCGGGCAGCACTGGCTGAGGCTGACCCCTGCCTGCTGCTTCTCCACACGCAACCCCTCCCCCACTGGTGCTCAGGGTGTGCCCTCTCCTGGTACCCCTTCTGTGTCTCCAGCCACATCTTCTTGGTCTCCTTCGTTGGGTTCTCCCTCCTTTGTCCCTGACTTAACTGGTGGCACCCCCTGGGGGGTCTTCTCAGACCTCATCTGACTCTGCAGTCTCTCATGGCTCAGTCACCATCTGTGCACTGATGAGGTCTCCACCTTTCTCTCCAGCCCAGACTTTTCGCTCCTGAACTCCAGGCTCAAAGGTCCAATTGTCTACTCAAACTTTCCACCTGGATGTCACACAGGCACTTCAAAGGCATGTTCAAGTCCAACTCCTCACCTTGCCCCCCAACCACGCAGCCTGGTCCCCTTCCAGTAGCATCTATACATCCATCCAAGTGCCTAAGCCGCCCACCACCCTCCCCGACTGCCACCATCTCCCCGCTGCCCCCCGGGCCCATCCGATCACCACGTCTAGCCATTCTACCTCCTGATCCCTCTCAAATCTACTGTCTCCACCTCCACCAAGCCCTTGGTAATCCAAGCCAGCATCTTCTCGTTTGTAAGAAAGCAACCAGCTCACTAGTCGCCTCCCTACCTCAACTTTGCCCCAGACCACTGCCCACCCTGCAGCCAGTTCGCTGTTGGTAACATGCAAATCCAAGTGCACCAGTGCCCTGTGAGCGTCCCCCAGTGGCCCCCACTGCCCTCGGCTCTCCACAACTCCGCCCCCACTACCTCTCCCACCTCATCTGCCTCCACATCTCTGACTCCACCCTCCAGCCACGCTGCACCTTTTCAGACCCAGAAACGCTTCCGCTTCCCTCTCACCCCGGAACACCTGGTCTCCCCCAGCCCTGACGTCTTGCCTGCCACATCTAAGTCTTACTTCAGGTTCCAGGGTAACTGCCACTTCTTCTAGGAAGCCTTCCCAGACCACCCTCACTCCCACCCAGAAAATGTTAGATGGTCCCACAATTAGATGGGCCATTCTAGCACTGTGACACTTTATACTCATTACTTTTTAAATCGCTTGCCTCCCACAATGGTAGACTGTGGGCATCAGCTGGCAGAGACCTGATCACTGTATCGCGGGGACTGCAGACAGTGCCCGGTCCCCTACTCAGCTGATGGTAAAAACTGCCAGAATGAATGAATGAATGAATGAGTGAATGGCACTGTGCATTACATGTGTGGTCTCCTTTAATTCTCCCAAGAATCCTTTAAGGGAGGTCCTATTGGTCTCATTTTACAGATGAGAAACGAGAAGTAACTTACCCCAAATCACACAGCTGGCAAACAGAAAGCAGCAAGTTGTACCCTGGTTTAACACCAGCAGCTCCCCTCCCCACCCCTCCCCCCACACAAGGCCAAGGTGGGGAGCTCCTGCTGGGGACCGGCGGCTCACCTGGAAGCACGTGGGCCCGGGCCTCCCTGCGGGGATGTCCGACTGGTAGAAGACTTTGAGCTCCGGAGTCAGGGCGATGACGGTCTTGATCACCAGGGAGATGATGTCAGACCAGACCTTCTTGATGTCCACGCCTCTGGAAGACAGCCGGCACAGAATGCTGGAGAAGGTCCTCTTGCTTCCCGTGCTCGTGCTGTCCGAGTGGACGAAGTTCCCGCTGTGGATGTTCAGTGAGTAGTTGGTTAAGTGCATGAAGATGTGGTGCAGGTTCTTGGGCGTGGGCTCCTGATACGGCTCCGTGCAAAATCTCGAGAGTCCGTCTTTGGCTATGTAGATCTCCAAGGGGTCTAAGGACTTCAGTAAGACATACAGGCGAATGTCGAACTTGAGCTTGTCGATGAGGAGAGGCTTGCAGATGTACTCCTGGACCACCGCCGGCCTGCGCTGCAGGGTCCCGGCCAGGCGGATGTCACTGGGGTCTTTGATGAGGTAGATTCCGTCACCCTGGCAACCACCATCAGGTTTCACAATGAAAGTGGGCTTCCAGGAGGGGTTTCCGTCTTTCACCATCCGAACCTGGGGGGAGAAGAGCAGGGTTAGCGGGATGTCTTTTTCCTCTCTGGACCTCCAAGATACAGCAGGACGTCGGCAAAGGCTTGATGAGTGGGTGACAAGATGAGCCCTGCCTGTGTGACAGTCACTGGGCACCCACCAGGGAGATGACACTGCACTAGGTACTGAAACAGTGGCCTCGGGCTGCCCCCGATCTTGTCCTGCAGCGGGGAGGTCAAGAGCACAGCAGGTCTATGGTCCCGGGACTGGACTCCAATCCCAGGTCTTTGCCAGCTATTAGCTGTGACCATGACCAAGTCACATAACTGATGATGATGATGATCTAGTACTGTTTATGAGTGCCCACTATGTGCCAGGTCCTATAGCAGGCACTTCGCATACATTATGTCACGTAAGAAAATACGGTGGCTCTCCTTTTATGATACAGAAAATAGGAGACGGTGCATCAGTTAAGAGTGTGGCTGTGGTATCAGGCTGCCTGGCCTTGAATCCTGGCCCTGCTACGCGCTGTGTGATCTTGGGCAAGTTAAGTTATCTGTGCCTTCCTCATCTGTAAAATAGGAGGAAGACTGTTCTGTTCTGAGGATGAATGAGGCAATACATGCAAAGGACTAGGCCCCTGGGACCTGACCTGGGCAGCCACCACGCCCAGCAGGGGCTGTCCTTCAAAGGTGCAGTAACTTGCTAGCTAACAGAGGGGCGGCACTGGGGTTGGAGCTGAGAACCCCAGACTCGAACGTGCGAGCACCTTCCTGCGGGATGCTCACTCAGCACTGCCCTGGCTCAGGCTCACCCTACAAAGGGGAAGGTGAAACCAGCCCTCGGGGGCCATTGTAAAGAAGAAACAAACTGAACCGTGCGGAGGGCGGAGCACGACACAGACCTCATGCACGGGAAATGCGAGTTTGATCATTTGTCTCTCTCATTAGGTCCATCCAGGGGACCTGGCCAAGCCTTCGATTGAGATCTTCTTCAAACCAGATTCTGTCATCCATAATATTTGCTCTCCTCCCAGCTCCAGGTCAGCAGGACACTCACACAATTATCCAGGACGCTTGACCGGTCCAGACAGTCAGTCTGGAGCTGTGGGCCTGCATAATTCATACTCACCCAGTTCCCCGGGGCCCCTGTCATATCCTTCATGCAGCTATGGGGAACGGCCTGAATGCTGGGGGGAAGGTTTTCGCAGGGGGAGGGAGCTGGAGGAAGTTTTAAAGCGGGTTTGAGAATCACTCTCTGTGCAGCGTGAAAGAGCCCAGAACAGGCCGTCCTTCCATTCGAACCCAGGAACTCGGTGGAGGCAGCCTGCCGCCGAGCTGGGCTGACTCTCGCTCCACCTTTGCCGTGCAGCCCGACCCAGAAGGACATCTGCACTTGGGTTTTACTTATCTCTCTGACCAGCCTATATTTCTAAGTGAAGCTTTTGCCAATTCCTTGGGCACTATCAGTTACTCCAGGCTTGTAAAAGATCTTTAACAATGGAGAAACACTTAAAGCCTTAATAATGGCCCACATCAGTTGTTTCCCCTTGTCAGCAGGATTCGAGAATGGAACCTCACCAGAGATCAATGGGAGCCTCTCCGGGCCTTCCACGGAGCCTGACTTGTAACCGTGACCTTGGCGTTCACGCGTAGTTGTTTAATATTCACCCAGAGCATTCGTACATTTGGCCCTTTACAGTAAATATAAATGTGCTGCAGAAATGGCAGTTATAGATCAGGAAGTGAGAAATGTCACGTTCGCACTGATGGGCAATTTGTCCCTCTGGAAAGCTTCTGCAATGCTGAAGATACTAACAGTTTAATATATTATCAGAATGATATTTTCTCCTTTGAATCCAGTGTATAGGCCTTAAATAAATGAAACTACATGGTCACTAGTCTCTGCCATTCATTGCATTACTGACTATTTCTTTGCCAGAGTAGCACCACACAAATCGGCATTATGAACACTATCGGAATCCCCGGATTCCTAGAACTGGAATGATCCTCACAGCGCCCAGCCCTCTCTCATTCAAATGCAGACGCTGAGGCTCTGAGAGGTCATGTTACTTGTTGCCCTGGGTCCCCCAACCTGCTAGGGGGTCGGTCAGGATGAGAACTGACCTCACCACACATTCTCTGTGCCATTTTCACCTCTGATACAATAAAATTAAAGGTCTCTTTTTCCTGAGTGCTACAGGAAAGATTCTCCTAACTTAGCAGACAGCACTGGTCTCTGAGCCGTCCTCACACCAAAGAGCTGGGCCCTGAGCACGGCCTTCTTGCAACTGTAGCCGCCAACCCCCCCCCCCCCCCAGCCTTTGCCAGGACCACCCCAGCCCCAGGTCTTCTGCCTGGGCCCCAGGTGCCATCTGAGGGGCAGCCAGCGCACTGTGCCAGACATGGCTCCCACCGCCACCAGACCGTTCAGCAGCTTCTATTTTACAAAGAGAGAGAAAGATTTTCCAGAATTTCATGTTAATTGTCCTTTGAGGTTTTGCTCAAGGGTGACCCTTTTCCCTCAGTTATTAAAGTTAAAAACGAATACATTGGTTTTTAGCAAGAAGTCATGGACCAGAATCTAAATATAGTGTCTATAATTCTGCCCCAACCCCCCAAATTCTGATTTCACAGACCTGGGAAGAGACCTGGGCATGCGTAGTGTGGAAAGAGCATGATGGTGTGATTCTAACGCTCGCTGGGTTTGAGCACCCCTGTACTAACGTGAGTTTAAAAATACAACCTGGGACCACCATACTGAATGAAGTTTCATGCAGCGATGTTGGCCTGAACAGGAGGAAGACCTGCACTTAGGCTGAAGCTGATGGCATCTCCATTTTCACCCAAACCCGCTATTGGTCGTGAAATCCATTATCTTGTAACTGTATGCACTGATGGCTGAGAGAGATACACAGAGGATGCGGTGGGCTGATTACTTGGCAGGCAGCAAGCCTACTAAAAAATTTATGTCTTCCACTGCCGCCTAGTGGATATTTAAGAAATAGACCTGGGACAGACCGGCCCTGGCAACCTTCACCATCCCGACTCTTCTTAGCAGCAGGACACTCTATTAAGATAAGATGGTGTTAGGCACTGCTCCAAAGCTGTGGTAGTGTTAAGGTTAGATCATGCTTTGGATGAACTCATCTCTAAAGTGCCAGGGTTGTTGGCCAAGGCCACATTCGGTTTTCATACACTCTGTCTTAAATAATTGCAAGTACTCACCCTGCTACACAGAGTGCCCTACCTGTTTAAATTCTCCCTCAGTTTGTATAAACTCTTCAAATTTGGGGTAACTTGAATATGAAATCCTGGAAATATATACCATAAATATCAGTGATTTTTCTATTCTTTATTGTGTTTTTTGTATTTTCCGAAATTTCCATGAGGAAAAAAAATTAGCAGCAATGGCGGGCAGCACTGAGTGCCTCTGAACCCGCAGGTTTGTCATCAGGAGTCGCTATGGGCGAGCAGACACCTGTGCATCCCTGTTCACGGCAGCACCACTCCCGGCAGCCAAGGGCAGGGGCATCACTCAGCCATAAACAGGAAGGGAATTCTGACCCCCGCTACAGTGTGGATGAACCCGCAGGACGTCCTGCCACGTGAGCTAAGCCGGACGAAAAGGACAAACGCTGGCTGCACGGTCCCACTTCCACGAGGCACCTGGAGGAGTCAGGTTCACAGAGACGGCAAGTAGGATGGTGATCGCCAGAGACCGAGGAGGGAGTTCGAGTCCGACGGGCAGCGTTTCAGTGTGGGGAGCTGAAAGGGCTCTGGAGATGACCCATGGCGGAGGTGGCTAAACAACAGTGGGACTGTGCCTAGTGCCACCAAATCAGACTCTTAAAAACAGCTAAGGTGGGCCCTGGCTGGGGCGGCTCAGTGGATTGAGCGGCGGCCTGTGAGCCAAAAGGTTGCCAATTCAATTCCCAGTCAAGGCACATGTCTGGGCCAGGTCCTCAGTTGGGGGCCTGTGAGAGGCAACCACACATTGATGTTTCTTTCCCTCTTTCTCCCTCCCTTCCCCCTCTCTCTAAAAATAAATAAAATCTTTTTTAAATGGTTAAGATGGTAAGTTTTATATTGTGTGTACTTTCCCACCATTTTTTTAAAGTTGAAGTTTTAACTAAAAAAAAAAAAAAAGTAGCTTTTGGTGAAGTGAAAGACGGCAAATCTGCCTAGTCCCAATTTACTCTGGGAATTTCTGACTGTGTGACCTTGGGAAAGTCACCTAGCCCCCTGGGCTGTGTTGCTCTCACCTACAAAATAAAGGGGTCACACAAAAGTCCCTGGCTTCCGCCCTTAAACCGGTTCTGAATGCTGATTTATCTTGACTCCACCACAGTTGAAGGCCGTGTCACAAACACACAAGTGACAGCCACCGGTGGGGAGTCCGTCCTGGGCCACTGGGGTCAGCGCATCGGGATGATCTACACCAGCAGCTCCGGTGAGAGATTTATGATGCACTTGAGGAAGTCGGCTGGGCACCTGGGAGAAGCGAGCTAAAATATTTTGAGAGGGATTCAGCAACTGGAATGCCAAGCCACAAAGTATTATTAGCAGCGAGGGGCAGATAAGAGGACAATTTCCGAGGAAACACCGTGTCTGCAATACCCGTAATGTCAAAGCCAGTTAGAGCTGGCCTCCATCACTCAGGCGAATTTGTATCCAACCTTAGCAACCAAGACCCTTCGTGTCACAGGCCCAGGCAGCAGACCTTAAGCAAAAACAAGCCTCTGGGTGGACAAACAGATGTCGCAAAGCACATGCTGGACAGGGTGGGGGGACCAGCCCCTTCCCCTTCCAGCCTCAGTGGGTCGAGCCTCACACCCAGGACAAAGCCCCACTCCCAACATTCCAGAGAGTTTCTGAGTCAGTTGAAACGGAGGCCATCTGCAGGTAGGTGACCCAGGGCCAGAATGCGAGGGAGACAGGTGAGGCCGAGAGGAAGAACTGAGCAGGTAAGATGCTGCAGCAGTGGGTTTTATGAAGGCAAGAGAGTGGCGTGGGTTTGATGAA